TGGGATACACTCAGCCCTCTTCTGCAGACTCTAATAGGCTTCCACGAACCCATAGTCACTTTTTCAGCGATCAAGTGGGAAAGCTTCTCAACACAACACAAAAATATAAAGAGAGATTGGATCCCCTTGACGAATTCCTCTCTGAGGAACTATGCAATCCGAAGCCACACCATTTATCAAGACTCTCGAACGATTAGAAGTTATAGAAGCCATTATAACACCAATCATCCAATCTGAAAACTGAACTTCAATAAGCACTTTATAGATAAAACTCCAACTGAGTTTATCATAAGCTTTGTCAAGGTCCAGTTTGATTGCCATTGTACCTTTCTTTCCTTTTACTCTCCCCATAGAATGAACCGGCTCCTTTGCTACTATAATATTATCCTGAAGCTGACGATTTGGCACGAAGCTAGCTTGGTAAGGAGAAACTAAATTCTCCATTGTAAGCTTAAGCCTATCCACAATGATCTTGCTCATACCCTTATAAATGACATTACACAAAGAAATAGGCCTAAATTGAGAAACATACATTGGCTTAGGAACTTTGGGGATCAAAGTGATCAGAGTACCGTTGACTTCCTCAATGCTGGAAGGGTTTTCTGCATAATACTTGATATCTCTCGAAATTTGTTCACCAATAAATTCCCAGTTCTTTTTGTAGAATGCCGCGGTATACCCATCCTCCCCTGGAGCTTTCGAATCTTTCATAGAAAAGAAAGCTCGTCTGACTTCATCTTTTGAAATTGGAGCACCTAAGTTAACAGCAGTCTCATCGTCCACCTTTGGCCAAAGAGTCTGGACCCAAGGACGATCATGGTTTTCTTCAGAAAATAGTTTAGAGAAGTAAACATTTATTACCCGTGCAATGTTGTGATCTTCTCTAATCAAGTTTCCAGCATCATCTTTCAACTCCAAGATCTTGCTCCTTCTACGTCTAACAATTGTTTTTGTATGATAGTACTTTGTATTCCTATCTCCTTGAGCTATCCAAGTAGCACGAGACTTTTCAAACTACAAAAGCTCCTCCTGTTCTAAAACTTGTTCAAGTTCACCCCTTATCTTGCCTTCAATCTTTTCCAAATAGCTTTTATTCTGCTCAGAAATTGCCCTCTGGATACCTTCAAGCCTACCAATCAACCTGTTCTTCTTATGATGGATATTACCAAACACATCTTTATTCCACTGCTTAATAAGAGGAGTGAAATCACGAAGACTATCAATTGTTCTTTGATCCTGACGCCAGTTTTCCTTGATGAAATTGTTAAAAAATTGATGATCCAACCAAAAAGAATGAAAACGGAAAGGGCGTTCCACCCCATCAACTTTGCTTGGCTCTAAGGTAATAAGGATAGGATTATGGTCACTGTTAATACGAGGAAGCACTCGAACCTGGCCTTCATGAAACATCAACCTCCATTCAGCATTGCTACAAGCTCGATCTAAATGTTTAAAGACTCTATCTAAATGAAGAAATCTTGGTCCTCTCCATGTAAATTTAGAACCTATTCCTTCAAGATCAATCATCTTTATATCAGTTAGAAGAGAAGCAAATTTATTACATCTGCTAGTATCAACCGGAGCACCACCACGTTTCTCACTTGGAAAAACAATTTCATTAAAATCACCTGCAATTAACCAAGGAACCGAGATATCTTCTGATAACTGAAGTAAATCATCCCAAAGTCTTTTTCGAATTTCTTCTCTAGGACTTGCATAGATAATAGTATAAAGAAAAGTTTGATGATCTGCCAATGTAACACGAACATGAATAAATTGATGGGTCTGTTTTAATGCTTGAACCTGACACCTATCATTATTCCATAGTAACCAAAGACCTCCCGTAAATCCATGAGCATCCTCCACTATTGAATTATTAAAACCCAGCTTTTTTATTATCTGTTTTGCTTTTGAACCACTTACTCGAGGTTCAAGAATAGTTGCCACCTCAATCTTATGCCTTCGAACCATCATTTGAAACGTTGATTTGAAGCACTTTTTAGCCGCCCCGCAGCAATTCCATGTAACTAAAGACATTAATCAATGGTAATTTGGCAGGATTGTGGGTCCACTGCCATCCCATTGTCATTGCACTGAGTTCCAGATTCTGAAATCATCTCCACCTCAATATTGAGCTTATGGTTTATTGGGATATGCTTTCCTTTATCTCTACTTGGATCAGGCGCTTTTGGTTGGGATAAGTCATGATCTAAGCCGTTGATATTTTGACCATCCTTATCCACCTCCATTTGATAACAATCTTTGTTATAATCAGCAACAGTACTCTTAGCCACCATGGAATCTCCACCGCTTTTACCTCCAATGTCCTTACTATTATAAATCGCAATTTGCCTCCTCAAGTTTGCTGTATTATTGTTTGAGGTACCTCTGTCAACTATCTTCCTATTTATTTGATTCTCTTTTTCATGACATGTCGTAATCCCACTTAACGTAAATCGGTTGGGGTGTTCCTGTAATTCAACATTAGGATAACTTCTAGGGTTTCTGAGTTTGGACCCTTGAGATGTACTAATATCAATATTAACAGGAGGGCCCACCATATTGACGTCATTTATAACAGCATCCGGATTAGTCGCTGGGATATCATGAGTAATATCATCTTCATTAGAGCCCATTAAAGCAGCGTAACGGGAATTTGATTGATTATCAATCATAACCGGCTGATTTGATTGCGGTTGATTACTCCCTTGATTACTCCCTTGATTATTCCTTTGATTACTCCCTTGATTACTCAGTTGATTACTCCCTTGATTACGCCTTGATTCCCTTCGAACCGGTTCCTGCTTCCTGTTGTCCGCCATTGGAGTTTGAATTCTTGATCGACGTTGACGTTGCACCACCATCCAAGGACCTAATCCATTTTTTCTGAAACTCAGCCTCATCTTTTTTCCCGTCTTGATTTTGCTGATTATCCTTTCCTTCAACTGGTATCTCAGGACAACAATCTTTACTATGTCCATAGCGCCCACAATGGAAACAAATAAGGCCTAAACCTTCATATTCTATCTGTTTAGTTGCTCCGTCCAACACATATTCACCCTTCAAAGGTTGAGCAAGATCCAGTTCCACGCAAATTCGAGCAAACTGTCCTCTTACATGCTCATTAGTTGTCCTATCGATCTTCAACATTTTACCTAGCCAGTTACCAATACGGCGGAAAAAGGCTTCATCATAATACTCCAGTGGGATACCCGGTAATCGCACCCAAGCTGCAATCTTCATCACACTTGCAGAATTTGGTCTAAAAGCTGGCTCCCAACGTCGGAGTGATAAATAATGGCCTAAAATAATCCAAGGACCACCATTTAGAGCAAAAAGAAGATCATCTTTGTTGCTAAATTGCACCACATAGAATCCATTACCTACATCTGTAACGTTAATCTTTCCAGCTCTAGCCCATAGTATTTCAATCTTCTTTTTCATGAAAGCCACTCCTGTATTCCTTCCAAGTAGTTTTACAATGAGAGCTTTTTCCCAAACTTTTAGCATTCTTGTTCTTGCTTTTCTAGTACAACCAAAATGAGTTTTACCATCTTCCTCTGTCCACATTTTAATCCCACCATAATTCACATCCTCTTCCTCCGCAGGTGCACTTTGATCAACATTTTCTTCCAAATTCCAATCCATTCCTTCACAGTCATCTGTTTCACCATTGTGTTGCATGAGCATCTCTCGCCAAGTCATCTTTTTATTACCATCGTCAACCATCCAAGATTCATGTCTAGGAACCCTAGATTGTGATTCAGTAAACACCCTATCTCCATCTTTATTTCTCTTATTACTCCTACGTAGTAGATCTTCTTCTTCTTTTGAAGTTTGGCCTTCAGTAGCTATATTTTCCTCCATGAAAAGGAAAACCCTAGCAGAGCGTTTTTTTTGGTGTTTTTTCTTTTGTAGGAAGGTTGGTGCATTTTGCTACAGTATTCCCATGAGTGTGCGTTGATTTCTTTGATTGCGCATGATTATAGTTATTTTTTTTTTGTTATTTTATTTTTTCTATTTAAGCCTTGGAGAACCCTATTATTATTTAGGTTATTTTTTGTTAAATAAAATTAAGAAAAGAGATAGGTTATACTTACAACCTTTTTTTTAAACCTCTTACAACCATATCTTAATACCGTTGATTTTCGCCAATCAACGGTTATGATTTTCGCAAATTAAACTCATTAATTAATTATTAATTCACAATAAATGATAACCGTTGATTGACTGAAATTAACGGTGTTAAGAAATGGTTGTAAGAGGTTGTATTAAAAAAATTGTAAGTATAACCTTCCTCTTAAGAAAAAAGATAAGTGTTTTCTCGCAATTTTTATTTTGTTCTTTCTTTCTGCTTAACTAATTGATTACTGTTTCAGCATTAATTTCATATTATTATTTCTTAACAAATTTTAAAAATAAATAAAACTTTATCATCCTTTTAGACTTTATATAATGGGAAAAATGTTTATCCTTTTAATTGACACAACTTATATCCTTTCACTGTTACAAAGAAGTGAGACCCACATCTTTATTTATTTTTTTCAACTCTCACTCCTCCTTTATCTATAACTTTTTCTCTCTCTTAAAATGACATAACTTTACATCCTTTAAAATGATACACATTTTTTCCCGTATATATTATAACCATGATATCACTGAGAAGAATATTTCCACATGTAGGACACGAACTCAAACTCAACTACACCTTCTAGATAGAAAATAATTCAAAATCTAAAACAATAAAATTACCCAATTGCCCCTCTGGTTCCAATCCACTCTCTATCATATTTTATTAACGCGGTTTTCAAAGTCATTGGTCACTCCACCTAACTAAACAATAAAAGCATAAAATGAAAAGTCAAATTTTCATTTCACCCTTTGACAATTTACACACGCAATGACGTGTCCCCATTAACTTTCTAAGAAATTTCATACCCTTCAATCTCAAGTTCTCAACCATCTTTATTTAACAGTTCCTCTCTTTCTTTTTTAATTTCTCTCATTGTGTTCTATTCTTTCCACTCTCTCACTTCTCTTCAGTCTTATTTATTTTTTTCATTCATATCAATTGGAATTACTGTAGTTTTTCAGAATTTGCTAGCAACTTTGGTTTGTGATATCATCTGAAAGGAAGAATCTTTAGTGGGGTGGCCATGGATAACAACAACAATCAACAATCTTTTTGGCAATTCAGTGACCAGCTTAGGCTTCATACATCCAATTTGGCGAATCTTTCACTAAATGATTCAATCTGGAGCAACAACTACACCTCAAAGAGTCATGATCAGAGAAGGAACTTTGATGTTAAGGGTAGTGGTGTTGTTGACATTAATTCCTTCACTGATCTCAATTCAAAGCCTTCTGATTTCAAGGATGGGTGGAAGATGACCAATTCCAATGGACCCCTTTTCTCTATGCCTCTCAACAACATCAACGACAACACTCTTGGAGGCTTCAACAAGGGAATTTATACCAACACTTCTTCCTCTTATGTTAACCTTAACAATAACAACAACCTCAACAACATCAATCTCAAGGGCTACAAGTCAGGTTTCAAGGGTCAAGATGAGTTTCACTACCCAACCAAAAGTGCTAAGAAGAACACCAACATCAACAACAACAAAAAGCATGGTGACAATAATGATGTCACCAAGACTGCTGCAGACAAGAGATTCAAAACTCTGCCACCATCTGAGTCTCTACCAAGGGATGAAATCATTGGAGGCTATATCTTCGTTTGCAACAATGATACCATGGCAGAGAATCTCCAAAGACAGCTTTTTGGTGTGTTCCCTCTATCCTTTTTTTCTCTCTTTATTGAATCATTATTATTACTATGATATTATTTCTGATTCTGTCTGTCTGTAACTTTTATTCTGCTTCCTAGATAAGGGAATTTCGCCACAATATTGATTTCAATTTTATCTTTGTGTTAATTATCAATTAATAATAATCTTCAGTTTTAATTGTTAGAGGAAGACTTTTATTTATTTATTTTCCTTTAAACAAATGTTTCATTAGTCTTTGTCCTTTCTTCCTATGAATTTGTCTGTGTAACTTGCTTTCTAAATTGGTTTTGTTGGTAAATGTTTGTGTGTTTTGTAGGTCTGCCTCCAAGATACAGAGATTCAGTTCGAACAATAACTCCAGGGTTGCCCCTTTTTCTGTACAACTATTCCACCCACCAACTCCATGGTATCTTTGAGGTATATATGTGTGTGTGTATATATATCTTCTTCTCACTTTATTGCTTCATTTTGATTTAATGACACTGCCATCAAGTTATGGATTAGGCCATAATTTCTACCTTTAGCAAGAGTGATAATGTTTGATGGGGTTTGTTTAGGCTGCAAGTTTTGGAGGAACCAATATTGATCCAGCGGCTTGGGAGGACAAGAAGTGCCCTGGTGAATCTCGTTTCCCTGCTCAGGTATCATATCCAATCCAATTATATCTTTTTACATAAAAGGGCAAACTCCGATACACAAGCCTTCTTGACTTGTAGGGGTGAGGGTCCATTATACCATTCCTGTTTTCAATTCATTATTACGAATGAATGTTTTTATTTTTTAGCATATATATAAGTGTGTGATATATCTAGGTTCTATTGATTTATTCTGCTATGTATCCAATTGCAACCCGCTATAGGGTTATAGCATTATTTTAGGGTTGGCCGCGACATTATGCCGCAATCCGCATTTGATAACTTTGTTGATAACTATATTACTTGATTTTGGTATTTTGTGAAAGATTATGAAATTTTCATACATGATGGTTACAGGTACAAGTAATTACTAGGAAAGTTTGTGAGCCACTGGAGGAGGATTCCTTCAGACCAATTCTTCACCACTATGATGGCCCTAAGTTCCGTCTTGAGCTGAGTGTGGCCGAGGTAACTTCTTCGTAAACTTGTGGAACATTGACCCTTCTTTGTATTAAGATATGGTTCAGTTTTTTTTTCTGGTGAATTAAACTCTTGTCTTTTTGCTTTCAGGCACTATCTCTTCTGGATATTTTTGCAAACCAGAATAGTTTCAATGATATTTTCAAAGCTATACCGGCATAAAAGGGTAGAAATTACAGAGAATACAAGATCAGCAGTTACAAGACAAATAGATAATGAAAACTGTGGACTTTATAAAGAGGGTACAAAGATAAGACACTGATTATAGTGGAGGACGATTGGATATTCAGCCTTTATATATGTGCGTGTATGTGTGTGTTCTAGTGCTATTTGTATAGAGGCTGTTATGCCTGATTGCCCATTTTTCTTGTTATGGGTGTATATGAACATGACATAAGAGAATAAAATAAGAACTATTTTTGCTTATGGTTAACTTGTACAGAAGTTACAAATTGAGGCCTTGCTTTAAATGTTGTCCATTTAAAGGGAAGATTTGGTTTTATGGTTCATTTTAGGGGGTATTAACACTTTGTGCTATAAATTTTGATATGCTTTCAACTTCTTGGAGATCTCCACTCAAATCATAAAAGTTATGAGCAATAGAGGTGAAGGTGGAATTGATTTTAATTGTGGGACAATCAGTGTGGCTAAACTGTTACATGATCTGGTACTACCATTTGATGGGTTGTCTTTATCTCCAAACCAACAATCGCATAAACTACTAGGGAAGGGTCTAGCTCTAAAATTGACCAAAGAATTGGACCACAATCTCTTCATGGACTAAGTAAACTATGAACTTTTCAACACAAATAAACTAAGGTAGGATTAATTGAGGCTTTGTTTGCAAGTCTACTTATTTTATGGAGATATAATATAAAATTATTAATGTGATTTTTTTTAAAGGCTTAATCTTTTGAGTTGAATTAGATTTTCATATAGTATTAGAGTCCTTCTGACCGGTGTTTAAAAACTCGGTCCGATCATCGACTCGGCTGAGGTTAGGGGTCACTTCGCTGATCTAGTTTTATTCATTAAAAAATATAAATATATATCCTATATAAAAGAAATCACAAAAATCACTCCCTGTTAAACCTGACTAGCGAGTGCGGGGTGGGAGGCAATCCTTGTACGCAGTCTTACCCTTATGCAAGAACAACTTTATCACTACTTTGATTCACCCCCTTATATATCCTATATAAAAAATTCAAAAAAAGTCAAACCACCAATCATCAAAGATTAAAAATATACTTAATATAATTCAACCAATTACATCCACAAGTCAGTCAATATTACACAAGGTAATCAAAGAATCAAACTATCAAAATATAAAACACATATTCTAATGGAGTTAATGAAAAATTATATCATCAAACTCAGGCCCTCTTTGTTTTTCTCATGTACCTACAACATGTAAAAGAAGATCCCTTATCCAAGAGAGAACAACAGAGGAGAGGCGGTGTCACGACGAATTAACGGTGAAGAGAGAAGAACATCACAGCGAAGGAGAAGGAGAGAGAAGATTGAAGAGGATAGGAGGAACCACCACCACGGCGGAGGAGATCACTAGATTAGGGAAAATAGGTATGGGTCTGAAAGAGAAGATCATAAAAGAAAAAGAACGATTCAGATTTCAGATCTAGTTCTAAATCTAGGCAGCAGAGAGTTTTTGTTTTGTTTTTTTTTACACACCAAACGATGTCGTTTCCTGTGTAAATTTTTTTTTTAAATGCGGTAACCTACCCGGGAGTCACGGGTTCAACCGGGAGATTTCGGGGGTCAGAAGTGTCAACGTGCACGCAAGGTCTAACTGCTAACCTCAACCCTCAGAAAGAGGGGGTCACTGGTGTTCATCGACCGATTCCAACTGCAGTGACCGAATCGAAAAATCGATAACTGAATAAACCGAAAATCGAGAAAAAATTGCAAATTTTAATTGGATTGGATCGGTTTTCAGATTGATTGATGAAAACTGATCCAATATATTAATTCTCCTCTACCTACTTGGACCTTTCCCCAATCATAGCCCAAAAATTTCTAAACCCAAAACCCATCAACTAAACCCAAGAAAAAGCCTAGTCACATCTCATCAACAAAATTTTATCTACGCAGCGCTTCATATCTCATTGCCCCACAAAAAAAAAATATATTATCGTTTACTAATGCTTTTGTATTGCAATTTTTTTTACAAAGTCAATATATACAAATGATGTTATTTGCACAATAATCATGAAACAAATTTTAGAATTTTCAGAAAATCGAAAATCGATCCAACCCAAACCAAAAAAATTTGGATTGGATCGAATTAGATTTAAAAAAAAATTCAAACCGAATGAATGATTATATGATCAAGCTGAAAGAATTAGATAGGATAAATTTTACTTCTAAAATCGATCCAATCCAGACCACAAATACCTCTAGGGTTCAGTGACCCGACGAAATCGATATCACGTTGGGCGGGATTTTAAAAACTGCCCGTGACTAAGTGGATGAATTTATTATTGTGACCTTCGCAAAAAGTGTCAAGCATTTGGTTGAAATATACAATGAAAAGTGAGTTGGAGTTACTTGAAAAAAGAGTTGGTGTGACTTAATAGTAGGAAAATAAATAAAAGAATATTGTCATTTAATCAGTGATTATATAATCAGAAAATGGTGGAAAGGGAATCGTTGTAACAAAATAGAGTATTTAAAGGAAATTAGGTCATGTTTAGTTGTGGCATGGAGAGAATAAGAATATGCTTCACTCATGGTTATGAACTCCATCACCCAAGGTGCATGGTGTGGTAAGGTTTTTTTAACCGGATTGAATTCAATTTCTTTTAAGAAAATAAAAGTTAATTGATATATTCTAAGAAACAGCTTATACTTACCACTAATTAAATTTATCACTTCTCTTACCAAAAAAAAAAAAAGTTTATCACTTCTTATCACTACATTTTAACTCTTGATTTCTGTCAATCAAGTGGTTATAATTTATTAAAAATTAATAATTAATTAATAAGTATCATCCAATAAATTATAATCATCATATTGACAGAAATCAACAGTTAAAATTTGATGGTAAAAAATTATAAACTTAATTGGTGATAATCTTCCTAATATTTCTAATCGGTTTTGTTAAAATGTAATCTGATCTAATCCAATTTAATATAAATTAGTTTGGATTCAATGACTCCTTTTTTTTATGATTATTTTAAAATATAAATTGGTCAAAATATAAAAACCAAATCTCATCATATCATAATACATAAAATACAAGTTTAAATTGATTCACCTAAATACAATAAATTCAGTTTAAATTCTAAATAAAAATATAAATTAATCTTTAAATTTACTAGATTTGTCCAAACTTAAAAGCCATATATAGGAACGCATATGTATATAATAAAATTTGAAACATAGGATTAGAAAGCACGAAGGTGAATCACGAGAAGATTTTTTGTGGGCCTGTACCATGGTAGTCCCTCTCCAAAATAGAGAAAAAAAGGAATTGAAGAGGAAAAAATCAAAAAGATAAAGATAGAAATGAAAAAAAAAATTCATTTATGTCAAAAGAACAACTGAATAAGTAGTGAATCTGAAGCATATTAAATTTTTTCCGAACCGGGGTTGTTCTAACTTCAACTAATAATTTGTACTTGTGTTATTGCCCAACTTGATGGGATTAATCAAATAGTAGATGAATTCATAGAAAATAAAAACACGCAGTTGACCTTTTCATTTCAATGAATGGTGCTATTGGTTAATTACATAAACAATTATGCCATATAATGGAGTAGCATACTTACACACGAATGTACCAAAGTCGTAGAAGGTAGGTTGGAAATTGGCAATGACTGACTGAGTCGAGAAGAAGAAGCATTATTTTGGTCCTATTCACTTTGCGTGGTCAACTCTACATTTTTTTCCTCTTTCCATATATTTAGTATATTCATTTGTTTTTGTTTTTTTTTTTTATATTTGTGTTGGGGTGTATTCCTCCATTAATATTTGGTGGCTGAGCAAGTAAGTCGGGGACACTTGTAAAAAAATCAGGGAGAGTCGTGTCCGACACGCTCCGACACGGCGACACGCTCCGACATGCTCCGACACGGGGTCGGACATGCGGTCAACTTTTTCTGACACGGTGTCGGACACGCGGTCAACTTTTTTCTACACGTTGACCATTCCGACACGCGAATTTGACCGTGTCCAACACGATCAAATGGCATTTTCGTAATTTTTTTATATTTTTTTTTAAAAAAATAGTTTTTTAAAAATTAAAATATATTAATAAATCTTCCACCTGATCATATCAATTTTATTTTTTTGCCTTTTTTCCCCTTAAGTAGATAAGAGATCATCTCAGCATCATTGTTGTCAATTCCTATCACGCTCTTGTTATATCTCTTTGTCTCTGATCTCTCTCTAATATGATTTGATCTCTCTATCTGATATTGTATCTCTCTCATCCCAGTTCTTATTTTTTTATTAAAGCTTCCATCTTTATAATGTGTTGATGGGTATTATTAATTTAGTTTCATTTTTTTGTTAAATTATTAAATATTAAATGAAATATACACTATATAAATTAAAAATATTATTTAATATTAAAACGTGTCCTAACGTGTTGAAATCCATAATTTTTTAGGATTGACGTGTCGGAGTGTCGTGTCGTGTCGTGTCACGTGTCGCGTGTCGTATCGGTGCTACATAGTGGCTGAGTATATATGCACCACATTTATTAGTGCATGGCTCAATATATGAATACTCACCTTAATAAATGTTACCTATCTCATAATTATGGAAGATTCTATAAGGAGGTGATGAGCCTTATTTCTATATAAAGAAATGAGAGCCTTTTGTGTAGGGTTAGAGATTTTGAAAGAGGTCAGGCTTTTTTTTTATCACTATAGCCTTTTTTTAATAATTAATTACCAAATTGACTCTATTTATAAACTATTTTAAAAATTTAATCTCTTCAGAAACCATAACACCAATCTGCCCATGTTTGACCGTTGACCATGAAGCCTACCCGGGTACACCCCTACCTATCCGGGTATATTTTGAAATTTTTTACCTACCCGGGTACACCCCTCCCTACCCGGGTATATTTCTTGAATCTGGAAAAAATGTTTGAATTATTTACCCGGGTAGAGAGGGGTGTACCCGGGTAAATAATCCAATAGGTAGTGCCAAGGAAAACCAATTACAAATAAGCTTCCCATTTTTTAAAGAAACAAAAAAACTAAGATTCTTGAAGACAAAACAGAAGCAATCAAAGCACAAAGTTCCAAAGTAGGAACGAGTATACAACAGAATATGAATCAAATACAAGGAAGCAGTGACCAATGAATAAGACCTTAACATGTCAATCATATCTTGGAAATAAATCAACCTCAGAAACAGAATCTAATATGAATATGAATTTCGTATGAGATCACCCTGTATGGTTCCCGATAAAGT